GGACCGCGCCTATGCCCACGCCACTCACGTCGGTGTCTAGTATGTACTCAGCCTCTGGGTCAGGAAACTTCAAAACAGGTGCCTCCTGAAGACTGTTCTTCAAGTCTTGAAATGATTCTTCACATTCACGCGTCCACTCGAACACTCTTCCCTTTTCCGTCAGGTGGTGTAACGGACGAGCCCTATCAGCAAAGCTTCTGATGAATCTGTGGTAATAGGACGCTAGTCCTAAGAAACTCTGCACTTCTCTCATTGTTGTAGGTGTTGGCCAATCCCGTACAGCCTTCACCTTCTCCGGATCTGTCGCAATCCCATCCCCAGACACTACGTGTCCAAGGTACAGAACACGCTGCTCGAACAAGTGACATTTCTTTGGTTTAAGTTTTAGACCTGCCTTCCTGTCTCAAGGCGACTCAACTCCTCTTCAACCGTCTTTGCGTACACAATAACGTCGTCGAGGTAGACGAGTAGCGTCTCCCAATGCAGTCCGGCAAACACCCTCTCTTGATGCCCAAGGGCTGTCCGAAGGTTCAATGGTGCCATTCCGCACCATGTCTTGCACCTGCCGCTGGATTTCTGCCTGTTCAACGGGAGGATATCTCCTTGGTCTCTCCTTTATGGGCCGGGCATCACCTGTAGTAATGCGGTGGCGAACCAAGTCTGTGTGTCCTTTGTCTCCCTCTCCCTTTGAGAAAATGTCCTCATATTGGCACAACAGCTGAGCTATTCTGTTGTGGTGTCTTGGCTCCACGCCTTTCTTGCTTCGCTCGAACAAGTCCTCAAGGTGTTCAGGAACATCGAAGGAGTCTCCCGGCGAAGAAGTTCCCGATTGTACTTCTTGTACGTCGCCTTCACCTACAGGCGTAAACGTCCCTGCCGTCGTCCCTCTCCGCACGACACATTCTCTCTTGCCGGGGTTGTATACTCGAATGGGAAGTGCATCCTCACCCGCCATCACCAGCACCCTTGCCACTATCATGCCTTTATCTGCTATTTCACTCCTCCCTGTAGGCTCAATCACTCCGACTACACCATTCGACTTGTTACCGTACACATATCCTGGAACTAGCGCCTCATGACCAGCTGGCACTCTGGTAGTTTCACCTATGACCACTCTAGCACAGAGTCCACCCCCTCGGTCGTCTGTGCACTTGATGGTTTCCCCATTTAACTTCAGCTCTAACGTCCGAAAGTCTAGATTACCCTGGGTTGGAATCAGGAAATCCATCCCTAATATGTCTTGCATCTGCCCTGTGTTGCCAAAGACTACGTTGATGGAGTTAATGGTTCTGCCGACCTGAATGTCTATGTAGGCGCTACCGAGTGTCTCCATCTTACTCCAATCAGCATTCCGTACTCCTGCGCCTATGGTTGTAAGTCTGGGTCTTGGTCCCTGGAAATGTTGAAATAAAGTTGAGACAACAACACAGTGTGTGTTGCCCCTGTGTCAACAAGAAGTTTTACTTTGACCCCTCTCACAATAGCCTGCACGAATAGACCATTGCCCGCTACATTACTTGTCCTTGTTCAGGTTTCTTTGTCGCCTTCGATTTTCTCGCCTAAATTCTCTCCAGCGCCTTCTGGCCCTGCTGTTCCGCCAGCTTTCCCACGGGCCGCTGGGGCAGCTGCTGGTCATTTCCCGACCTCATTTTCTTCACTGCGCTGGGTTGTTTGCAACTCCTTGCAAAATGTCCTTTTCGTTTGCAACTGAAGCAAACGTCTTCTGGGCTTGGTTTTCGCCTCTGGTTGGCGGCACTCGAACGATCGCTCCTCTCCTGAGGCCGGAGGGTGTCAAGTCGCTGGGTCATCTTCTCCAGCCACTCCCTCACCTCGCGCTGATTTTTCTCAGCCGACTCTTTCATCTCCCGCTTGATTTCTTCCAAGGGGTACTGGGGCATCGCCCTCTACTACTCGGGCGTACTTGGGCCGCTTGCCAGCCCGCTGTTCCTCTATCTTAAGGAACCCTTCAGTGTTTAGTGCAGCTCTGATAGCCTCGTCCAGTGATGATGGTCTTGCTCGAAAGATCTCTTCTCGGATAGCCTGTTCCTCCACCGCATCAGAGAAGTGCCCCCTGGCTAGGTGATCACCCCCCTCCTCTGACAATTCCAGGTAGGCGAGTGAAGCCAACTCCCTTATGCCTGTCCCAATTCCTGCAGCGTCTCTTTAGGCTTTTGTCGCCTATGCCGCAGCTCCGCTAGGTGGTTTTCTGCAAGCTCTCCTGGGCCAAACCGCTTCTCCAACAGCCCAACCAACTCGGAATAAGTTACGTGGCGCCCGCTTGCTGTTAGATTCCCTAATGCCTTGACCGCATCGCCCTGCAGGCTTGCCGCCAAAAACACTCTCGCCTGGCGATCACTCCAATTGTTTGCCAACTTGCAGGGCTCAAAATGCTGCTTGTAATTTTGCCACGGGATCTTCGCGCTGAATCTGTCGGGGATGATGTTCGGAACGTCTGGTAGGAACACCCACTTCACTCTTCACCCCAACTTCTCCTTTGTTTTCGACCTCCATTCCTTGAAGGTCCGGGGAGTTTTCGCCCTCCCTCTGGCTTGCGTCTTTCACAAACTGCAACGGAACTCCACCTTGGGTCCCCGGCTGCCGGCATGCGGTCGAATGACCAGTAGGCGTCAACTCCGTTCGACTGCCCTACTCGCCGCAGCTTGTCAACTCGTCTACCGTCTGCGACGGGACGTCTATCGTAGACACTGGCGTAGGCGCTGGTGCAACGGGATTATAGAATCGCGTTCTGGGTTTGGGGGTAGGCCTTGGTGATGGTACTGGTGTAGGGGTGGCTGTGAATGTGAAAAGTTCACGGCTGCCTGTCCTCTGGCGTCTATCTGTCCTCTGCTGTGCTGCCTCTGACTTGGCCTCACTTTGGCGAAGCTGCAATCTTAAAGCTATAGTCCATCATTTGTAATTAGTGCATTTTGTTCGTTTGAAGCAACAAAAGGGTTCAAAATCTAATGAAGGATACTGAACAACTAACCTGATGAAGTTTCAGCTAAGCTTCAGCTGTACATATCGATAAAAACAGCATTCTAAGATCTCAATTTCAAATCAAAAGTTACTGAATCATGTTTTGAATTGTTTTGAATTGCAGCCATACGCGACGTAGCGCACTGATCCGACGAATTATAACAACCGCGCGCGCGTGTGCGTTGTTCCAATACTTGTGCGCGCTGCGCTGAATAACAAAACGAACTACTAATTTAAATTTTCCTACGGTGCTTCTTAAGAATCACCGTTGGAAATGCCTTCTTTCGTTTAGTTCCCTTACTATCTTTCAACCAAGTTTGTTTTTCAACAATAATTACGCCAGTTACTTTTCGGATGGCTGCAAATGATGGACTATAGCTTTAACAGGCGATTCTGCGCCAGCAGCAACTCCTTGATCTCTGTCAGATCGCGGTTCCCGGCAAAGGATTGTTGTAACTCGTCCTCCACGGATATCTCGTTGGCGGCCATGTCGGTTAATAGTGGTAGTTGTAGATTGTTGGGGTGATGACTCCTAGCTAGGTGATGTCACAGGCGCAGGTGATTTTTAGCAGTGAAGCAACGGCGCCTATCCCACTTCTGACACCAATTTGTAGCGGTACTGCCTCCGACGACTGCCCCGGCGAGTAGCGGCGAACGGCCTAGCCTCTACGGTCGGGTACGCAGATCCGTTTCGGCGGAGATTTACTGCAAGGCCCGCAGCAGACTACCAAAGGATCACCCTTACACGCACTCTCGCTCACACAACCCAAGCGGACTAACCAGGGGGACTGGGGAAGGATGGGGACCTGACACTAGATCTGTGTTTCGGAAGATTATTTATTCGCCTACCCAGGTGCCTCGCCTATCCCTCACCTATACAGGCTACTTAGCTATATTCCAGCTCGTACGATAACAATGACTGAACTATTGATTCGAGAATTATAAGGGTGAATTGACTAATTAACTTGACCCACACAAAGTGTGAGGCTCCCCCACAGTGACTAGATAATGATTGGCATGATTTTGTAGATCAGGGACTCGGCTTGACCCACTTGACCCACACAAAGTGTGAGGCTCCCCCACAGTGACTAGATAATGATTGGCATGATTTTGTAGATCAGGGACTCAGCGGGTCAACGAATACCCACCACACACGCTGGTATAAAGGCTTCTTCTATATACAACCGTCGAAAGAGCACGACGCTTAGCGTACGGCGGCTTTTATAGGGCGGGCACGTAAGCTTGTGCCCCCGTACCCTGTGCGAGAGCACGCGCACATCGCTAGCTACCAGCAAAAACTGAATTGCACCCTCCTTAACGCGATATCCTCATCATTTTAAAAATGCATTGCGCTACACTATCAAACCATTAAAAATGGCTACTGGTTTCTGAGGAAATTGAAAATATTATAAGAATAATCTGCCCAATTTTTAATCTGCTTGTTGTTAAAATTGTCCAAGCAAGATCCCGCTAAGCGTAAATTCATCTTTTACTGGAATGTGTAATTGTGCATTGCTGTTAAGGCCAAAAAAAATAACTAAATTGGTCTCTGGTCAGACCAGAGTTCCGGAATTGATGCGGCGACACGTTTTTTTGTTTTTTTTGGAAGCTTGGATTGTACAGACAAGGTGGGTACTATTTTGCTTTTGTTGTGTCCTTATATACATTGGGGACTTCCATATTTTGCCTTGGTGCCCTCCATCATTTGCCTTGGTGCAATTTCCCCATTCCTTGGTAAAAAAATTTGAGGAGGTGCGGCAATAGAGGGCGCTGCTGTAGCTACCGCGGACAATTTGAAGAAAAAAAAAGGTTGACACACATGATTAAAATCAACGCGCGCACTGACCAGAGACCGACTTATTTTTGGGGGGGGCCTAATCCTGTTCAAATTTATCCTGGTGAAAATAACATCACTTACACACACAACAAAAACCAAAACAACACCCAAACAGTATTGCCAATACAAATACACTGAACCAAATTCTACTTGAAGTACTCACTACATGGAATATTTATAACCTTACCTAGAAGGTTGTGAAAACTGAAGACCTTCCAAAGCATGTCTCACTGGATCTTTCTCGCCAGCTGATATACTGACTGACTTATCTATCAGTTCTGTAAGCTGGAAAAAAAAAATCATCAGAGGAAGGAGATTGATTACATGTTTATGGTGTTGACTTATTTTAGTACATGTATGTGTACATTAACAGTTAATTTTCATCACTTATTGAGGCCAGAAAGTAAAAAAAAAAAAACTTTTACTGACATGTACACAATTTGACATTGTCTGCAATGAGATTGACTCCAAACTGGACGCAAAGTCCACCTAGTAAAGGTGTGCATCGACATGTGATGTAATGATGACATCATCTTGACGTCATCATGTGCCACATAACTTTCTTAATTTTAAAGTGCATTATTTAACGTCCCTCTATCTAAAGAACTACAAGTCCAATTGGGTTGAAAATTTATACATAAACTAGTAAGAGACATGTTATACATGAAAATTGAGGTAACATCACAATGAAATCATCGTGTGATTATTTATGGATTTTTGAATATTTTCATCACATCATCATAGCTCACGAAAAAAATGCTTGATGAAAAATTATTTTTATAATAGGTATGGTATGGTATGTCATACATATGCATAGAGTTAACAAAAACATGAAATGTTATCATGACATGACCAAAAATTAACGATAAATGTATGTACGCGAGGCACACGTGGTGATTTATGCACAAAATTGTCAATCGCTTTGTTATTTCAATTTGTAAAGTTTGCAAGCCACATTGTTCAGTGTTTCCATGAGAACTGTAGCAAAAATGTGTGGATATATTTGAACTTAACGCATGTGACTTGCATTGAACTGTAAAAAAATTCACCCCGTGAAATCAGTAATGGTGTACAAATGCTGAATCCTCCTGGAAAATAGAGGATTTGGTGCTTCCTCACTATCTACCATACAACCCTGTATAATGATATTATGTCAGGCCAAGTATGTAGACGGAATGACCTGCCACCGTGCCTATCTGCAACCATATGCAGGGAAGCAGACTCGCTGGGCCCCCAAACTCGCATCTTTTAACTTGTGATTTTGACATGCATGGCTTCCGTCCTGAAGTTTTTTGAGTGTTACAGGCAAAAGTACATATAAGGGAAGGTTTGATGGTCATGAAACTTAGGTAGGTACATGCTAGATTATCTTACTAATATGCAAAACTAGAATTGACATCACTGTCACATGTTGATTTTAAAGTCTTGTGAATATTTAATTTCCAGACTTATACTGTATAGCGACCCCTACCTGAATGTACATATTGTGTAACTTTTTGTGAAAGGGGAGAGACCCAACCTAAAGTTTTAGTTGTATTACACCGCAACTCCACTTGAATTGGGAAAAGGGAGATCAAGAACTGGCATTTTGGTGTGATCGTTATCTTATCGCAACGAAACCGTAAGTCATGTTCCCACTTATGCTTGATCCATCTTTTTGAACGGAAATGTCGAGTCCGAAAGGTCACTTAGTTCGGTATTACGCATGCGCTAGCTTGCTGAGCGCGTGCTCTGAGGAAGTGTTCCATGCTGGGAACACTGGCTAGGACGGGTCAAATTGCAAACATCACTATCAGAATTCACCGACATAAATTATGCAAATAGGTTAAATGGTGAAATCGAACAGCGCCACTCATTATGTGACGTCACATTCCCATGGCAGAAACCAATGCATCGATAAGGGGTTCTCCCGGTTCTGAAGCTTCTCATTGATTAACCCTAACGTACCTGAATCCATCAAAATCCACCCCCCCCCCCTGTTTCGGGGGATTTCGGCGGATTCAGGATGCCTCCATATTGCACAAACTGGGGGATTTTGATGGATTCAGGATTGGAAGCCTAGCGGAACTGGCGGATTTTGATTGATTCAGGATACCTCTATTTTGAGCTGTTGTGGGACTTTGATGGATTCAGGATCTCAACAGTTTAACTCTTTTGCAATGTTTGTGGTCAAGTAAATACTGCTGGCACTAGCTCTGCCAAGTCTGTCACATACTGTACAAACGTGCACACATGTACTGGGTGGATGGGCGCTTTTGACTGGGGCTATAAATAGGCCTCAGCATATAAACAATGGATTGTGTTAATAACCCATCCAGACAATGAGTACCGAAGTGTGACGTCATTTAGAACCAGACAGGGTAGTGCAAACAAATGGGGTACGTGCTCGTGTGGGTTTACGGCATAGATATAGAACAAACGACTAGATCGGCAGCACGTCCACGTGCACGGATTTGCATGGAGGGTCACGTGCTGGAGGAAAGATACAAATAAAAACGTGACGAACGCAACGCCGTTTTACGCGCAAAGAGCACCATGTGCATCGCTAATAATTTTGTGTGCGCATCGCGTAAATACTCGGTGTGCATTTCTTGCTTCGCGCACGTTGAGCTAGGTCACGTGCTGGAGGAAAGCTCCATTACTTTACGTTAATTTGTTGCATGTCTACGAGAGACAACCAAAATGGCGGAGATTTATCGCACAGTGAATGGGCGCATGTAGACGCACTGCCGATTTACAGGCTGAAACATGCGCTAATGTCTTTCACACAAATTTTGTGCGCGAGACGTATTCACTTCGGTACTCCATGCTGGGGTCGCCATGCATTGGTGTACCAGTATTTTGATGGATCCTATGCAACAACACACATCACAATTTTCATGCGAGCGTGGTGTCCTGAATCCGTCAAAATCCACCAGAAATTTAGGTGATGGATTTTGAAGACTCTATGGAAAATCATGCTGTAATTTTTTTTTATGCCAACATGGTATCCTGAATCCACCAGAATCCATCAAGACTTTTGCTGGTGGATTCTGGCGGATTCAGGATACCTCCAGTATCTACACTTGGGGATTCTGATGGATTCAGGATACCAGCATTTTTTGCATGACAAAATTGGTGGATTTTGGCGGATTCAGGATACTTTCTAGTAAAAGAGCCCCAGGAGTTAGGGTTTTTAAAAATGGTCACGATGTACTATGACATCATTTTCCAATTTTCTATTGTCAATACTACAGATTTACCATTGAAATGGTCACCTCTAGCTCTATTGAAATCGGTCACCTGTATACCGCGTTATCGGCACTATTCTCATCGCATACTCGTAAGCTTTTCTATGATTCTGTGCCAAAGTGTCGTGTTTTGGTGAGTGCAAGCTTTACACTAACAGAGTTATTTATGGATGGAAAAATAAATAAAATTACACAAATGAAATAGGTTTAGAAATGGACGAATATGCAACTAAAATTGTCAAAGGCCCAGTGTATTAGATATACCATGTGCGCTGCATGCATGCATTGTGCATGCGTGGTGACATATTTTGCAAGCCTGTAGTTCAGCGGTTGTTTATTGCGCATGTTGTGCACATTGGAAACTTTCACACGAGCTACACGCCTAAAAACATATTTCTTCGTTCATGAGCCCGCAAAATGTTAGCGCCTCTCGTGCACTGGGCGGCAGGGGCGGCGGAACCGGGGGGGCTGGGGGGGCAGTTGCCCCCCCAGATTTCCCTAGCTGACAAAAGTGCCCCTCTCACGGTGATTAATGTGCCCCTCCTGATGAAAACAAAAGTGCCCCTCTTGCGGTCATAAATGTGCCCCTCGAGATAAAAACAAAAATGCACCTCAAACGCACACATATGAAAGCATATGATCGCACTGCAAATAAAATTGTCTCCTCCCTTGTCATGCAAAACTGCCTCACAAAAAAACACAAGTACCCCATGTGCATTAACAGGATTGTGAACCTTCTCGAAATGGAAAACTATCCCTCGAAAACACAAATATCCCTCTCGCAATAATAAAATTGTGCCCCTCTCGAGATGGGAAATTGGCCATCAAAAATGATAGTGGTCCTCTAGCGATAACTTCTTGAGATGGAAAACTGCCCCTCGAAAGCACAATTAGCGCCTCGTTGTCAACATTAAAATGTGCCCCCTCTCAAGATAAAAAACTGTTCCCTAAAAAAATAATAGTGCTCTTCACGCGAATAAAATGATCACTGAACTGGCCATCAAAAGCAAAATTGCCCCTCTTGCGAAAAAAAAGGTCTCTTTACATAACTAGTCAAATTCATGTTCCGCACCCAGGAAGATAACCGCCGAGGGGCCGCCGGAGGCCGAAGGATTCTCCACTAGAAAAAATTCTGGATCCTGGTAATGGAAATAAGAAATCCAATTGTTAATTGAATGTAGCGATACGCGGACTTGCTCATGTAGATGCATGCTAATACCTGTTTTATTATATTGTTACACAAAATGCATACATTCACTACGCTACAGCTTTGTGCGTACACATACGCCCATGCATTGACTGACCACCTGCGTTCTATCAATTCTGTAGTAACGCATGGAGTCACAGGGACCCCCCCCCCCCCCCCCCCCCCCCCCCCCCCCCCCGTCACAACTTTACCCAGTACAGTTGCACGCACACGGTATAGGTGGTCAATTGAGGCTATTGCAATAGTAGGCCTAAACTGTAATGTTTGGAGTAGGGGAATTAAAATTTTATTACTTTTTTTCACGCCAACATTTTAAAAAGTTTACACCAGTGTTGTTAGGTTTGTTCTGGGTAACATGTATCATTGCAATAAGAACGAAAATAGTTTCACAAAACTGTCAAAAAAAATTAGGGTAAAATCTGTTGCCACGCCCCCGTCCCCATCCTACATGTACCTTATCTTCCCTAGAATATGTATATATATTATTTTTCCCCAGTACTTGTGTATTTCAACATGCCTAGAGCAGAGTGCCGCAAGCGGAAACATGATGAGGCATTTAAAGATGCTGCCCGTCAAAATGCCAAGATGACAACATTCTTTCAGACATTATCAAAGCCGTCCACATTCGAATAACCAGACGGTCAGTATGGGTGAATCATCCGAAGGAACAAACATTTTTGATCAAACCTTCAGAATCAGAGGAGAACCAGGGACTCCACCAAGAGCGCAGTCTTCTGCCTCAGCACGACTCGTTGATGACAAGCGTCTCTAATGAAGAAGTAGCTAAACAGCGAGAAATGCCACTTAGTATGATGACGAAGTCCGCAGAAAAGTCAGAAGATGAGTCT